GCCCCCTCACCCAGAGTTAACCTTGTCACCTTATCTAAACTGTTAGGTGTGGTGTGAGTCCATATTGAAGATACTTGGATTCCTAGGGTTTTTTTTCCCTTTTTTTTTTTTTTTTTTACGAGATTATGTCTTCGGAAGTGAGAGCAAAGATCAAATTATTTGGGTAACATTAATGTAAATCCCCTATTTTCTTTAGACTATTTTTTGTCTTTTTGTTTGTAGGAGACGGCATTTAATGAAAATATCCATGCTTAAGGGGTAAAAATGGCCGGCTTCCTAGATAATTTCCGTTGGCCAGAATGTGAATGTATTGACTGGAGTGAGAGAAGAAATGCAGTGGCTTCTGTGGTAGCAGGCATATTGGTAAGTGAGAAATTTATGCCTCATCTTTGGCCTAGAAATTGATGTTGATTACTTTGACTGTTCCAGAATTATTTTTTTCACTATTGCTTTGTATAAATAATTGTCAGAGTTCTGGGTACTGTTATTCAATAGGACATGGTATCCCTCACTTCATTTGTCTTTTGTCAGTTTGTTAAACTTAATACCTTCATGAAGTTCCAGTGATAATATAATTGTTACAGGCTGTAATGTCTTTTAATGTAGTGATACAATATGTTTGACTTTAAGATCTTTGAAGTCTCAGAATTTGATGTAACCAAAAATTATTGTTATGACTCATTGAATTTCAAGATACATAGATAGTAGTATAAATATTAGGCAACATTAGAACCTAGGATCCCCATGACTGCACTAAGGAAGGGGTACCATCTCCATTTCTCAGACTGCAGTGTTGGGGGTAAGTTAGTGGAAGAAGTTTGTGGCAGAAACTATTGCTTCATTTTCTTCCCATTGTTTTTCCTTTTTTAATGTTTTTTTTTGTAAGGCATCTTAACTGCTAATCAGTAGCCTGGTGGTTCAAATCCACCAGCTACTCCTCAGAAGGAGGATTGGGCAGTCTACTTCCGTAGTGATACTGCCTTGGAAACCCAAGGAGTGGTTACTATGAGTCAGACCTGACTCGATGGCAGTGAGTTTGTTTTTTGTTTTTTGTTTTTGTTATTATTGAAAAGGTCAAGCATATAAGCAAAAGTAGAGAGAATGGTATAAAAATTCCCTCTTCCCCCCCTTAACCTTTATCATCTAGCTTCAAAAAATATAAAGTCATGACCAGTCTTGCTTCATTATTGTATCAACCACTTCCTGTTCTCATGGCATTATTTGAAGCAAATTTCAGTGTCTTTCTATTATTTTGTAAAAATTTTTATTGTGGTAAAATACATAAAACATAAAAATTGCCGCCTTAACAATTTGAAGTGTACAGTTCAGTGATGATTCTTTTCACAATGTAATGCAACCATCATCACTGTTAATGTTTCTTTAGTTCATCTTTTTCAGTGTACAGTTCTACACCTGAAGTTTAGAAGGGTGGGGGGGACAACAAAATAAAGGTACACAGGAACTAAAAATTCCTGTGAAGCAGTCTGCATGCAGAATTCTTTTAGATGTTTATACTTTTTTCTTAACAATTCTTTAGTAGCTTGTCTGCTTTGTCTATTCAGCTTATTATTGTTGTTGTTATGTGCTGTCGAGTCAAACCCGACTCATAGCAAACCCTCCTTGGGTTTCCGAGGCAGTATCACTACGGAAGTAGGATTGCCCAACCTCCCTTCCGAGGAGTGGCTGGTGGGTTTGAACCTCCAGCCGTCTGGTTAGCAGGCAAGTGTCTTAGCCACTATGCTTCCAGAGCTCCCATTCAGCTTATAGAAACATTAATTTTACAAACTCATGTTGAGTCAGTTATACAATGGTCAATTAAATTACATAATCAGTAAAAACTATAGCAGAATTAAATAGTTTTGGATATGCACAGCTAATTCTTGGTAAACATACAACTCATTTGTGGGAGCAAAAATGCTTGGGCATATTAAAGAGAAAGAAGCCTACTAGCTATCTGCACTTGGCTTAGCCATGGGCCCCATCAGAATGTCCTCTGGAGAAAATGAAACACATCAGGGAAACAGGGAGTTGTTTAAGTAGAAATTAGCTAAGAGAGCAGCTTTTACTGTATATGATTATGGTGTGTGAAAGAAGCAGATAATCTGTACCCAAATAATAAAATTTTATCTTGAATTGAGAGCAGGACTTCAGAAACTTACACAGATTTAATTAACTATGTTTGCCTCATCTTCTATAAAGTAAATATGAGATTCTTATTTTTATATTTCAGCATCCTAAATTCAGAGTGGGGAAATACTTTGTTTCATTTATGCAATAGAAAAAAGGACTGTTAAAGATCAAGTACTGTGTTAAGCAAGAGTTTTAGTGTTCTAAATGACTTGGGTTGTTTTTCAAGTTTTTTACAGGTTGGTGGATAATGATTGATGCAGCCGTGGTGTATCCTAAGCCAGAACAGTTGAACCATGCCTTTCACACATGTGGTGTATTTTCCACATTGGCTTTCTTCATGTAAGTATGAAGGTAATTCTCAGTTCAAGATTATTTTTTAAAAAATTTTCCCTTAAAGGTCCATGGTATCTTGGATAACTTTTTAATTAATAGATAAATTTTTCTTTAAGGTGATAAATATGCCTGTATATTCCATTCTGTTAAGACTGAGTGTTGCATTTAGTCAAATATCTTTTTAGCATTTATAAATATTACCATGTTTTTATTTTCATATGTGTTTATATGGTGAATTGCCATATTTTATCAGTTCCCAAATACACTTTTTAAAATTTTAATATCTTTTAATTTTTTTCTGTTGTTGTTGTTATGTGCCGTCAAATCGGACCTGGCTCCTAGCGACCCCTCCTTGGGTTTCCAAGGTGGTATCACTACAGAAGTAGATTGCCCAACATTCCTTCCAAGGAGTGGCTGGTGGGTTTGAACCACCAGCCTTCTGGTTAGCTAGTCAGTATAAAAGATCTTAAAATTGATGGCATTTTAGATTTAATGAAATATGTTGCATTTTTAGATTTTCTAATGGTGAATCATCTTTGTAATATTGTAATACATCCAACTTTTGCTGTGGGAGTATTGCTTTATTTTTTTTTAAATGTGCTGCTTGGCTGTGTCTGCTAATATTTAGTGGGAGGGAAGGATTGGCCTCAGTATTCACAAATGAGATTGGTCTGTGTCTTTTTTGTTTTATTAAGTCATTTTCAATTTTATTAGTTACTTCACTTCATAATAAAGTTTGGAAGCCTTTCATGGATGCCTTTTAACAATTTAAAAAATATGTTAAGCATTAAGATTATATAATTTCCTTATATTATCAGGAGTTTACCAAAAGTTTATAATATGGAAAATAGAACTAATATATCCATTCAGACTACTATGAAAAGGCAATTCCTGCTACTAATTCATGAGCCTGTTCTAACAGCTATGGAAGGAGAAGCTGAATAAAGTAGACCTATTATACGTACATAATCCAAATTTTCTCTGAGTTTGAGAAGTAGATCAGAGAAAAATATTTGACTTTTAACAGTTTAACTCTGGATTATAATGAGAACTTTAAATGATTTGACTAATACTGATTAATTCATGTATAAATGTAGATCAGAAAACTGATCTCTTTTTAATAATCTCTGGGGATAGGTAATTAATCTATTAAAATAAGTGTAAGTTTCCTTGGTGTATGTTAGGAAAATGAGCCTAATATGACATTTCTGTCTACTAGAATATTTGTTAAGTTAAAAGATTATGTTCAATTATTCAGATAATAACTTTTATTAGGAAATAATCTTTTTCCTTCTAAGTGAATGTAGGTATCTGTGTACATTAACAACACAAAAGTTTATTGGATGATTTTGTTTTGTTCTAGGATAAATGCTGTGTCAAATGCTCAGGTGAGAGGTGACAGCTATGAAAGTGGCTGTTTAGGAAGAACAGGTAAAGGTCCTTTGAGGTGTTAATGTATGCTGGCAAAATAAGGTTTATTAGTGGGGGAAAAAGTCTTCATTTAGGTCTGGTAATGATTATATAGAACATTTTTATTATCTTAGAAAAGGTATTTTAGCAATATTTAAAAGCTTTACTACTAGAAAGTTAAAGTTAATGCCGGAAGTTACTATTTTTGTGATGTTTTACTGTCCAAATTGTATAGAACCTATACATAGACCAGGAGACTGTCTTTTGAACAGGACAAGGGGACACTGCATGGTTTAAAATCAAGAAGGGAGTGCGTCAGGGTTGTATCCTTTCACCATACTTATTCAATCTGTATGCTGAGCACATAATCTGAGAAGCTGGACTAAATGAAGAAGAATGTGGCATCAGGATTGGAGGAAGAATCATTAACAACCTGTGATATGCTGACAACACAACTCTGCTTGCTGAAAGTGAGGATGACTTGAAGCACTTACTGATGAAGATTGAAGAATACAGTCTGCAGTATGGATTATACCTTAATATAAAGAAAGCAAAAATCCTCACAACTGAATCAATAAGCAGCATCAAGGTAAATGGAAAAAAGATTGAAGTTGTCAAACACTTCATATTACTTGGTTCTACAATGAATACCTATGGAAGCAGCGGTCAAGATATCAGATGACATATAGCACTGGGCAAATTGGCTGCAAAAGACCTCTTTCAAGTGCTGAAGAGCAAAGATGTCTCCTTGAGAACTAAGGTGCACCTGATCCAAGCCATAGTATTTTTAATCACCTCATATGCATGTGAGAGCTGGACAATGAATAAGTGTGATAGCTAAAGTTGTGTGTCAACTTGGCTGGGCCTGGGTGAGTGGCTGGACAGCTGGTGGTAGTTATTCCCCACCATGGGCCTAGCAGTCAACTCCATGGTGGGATCTACCACAAGCAGCTGAGTAGCTGCTTTAGGGATATGGTCTGCTTCCCACATACATGAAGCAGCTTTGGGAATGGTCTCTAGCTTATGAACCCTGCATGAACTCTACACACTTGAACCCTGCATGTAGCTGAGTCGTCATTCAGCAGCCTGCCATGCTCTGCCGACCTTGGGACTTTCAGTGGACTTTAATCAATGGCCTGCCATGTGGTTTGGTAATATCGGGACTATACCTTGTTACTTGTTGACCTTGGGTTTGTCAGTCTAAGCAGCCAGCAGCTGAGTGAAGAAAAACCTCCAGCTTCATTGGGCTGAGAACAGGAGGCAGAACTGAAGCCCAGGGTTGAACGGCTTTCACCCAGCCCCTGGAGCCTGGCACTTTGAACTTGGACTTAAAGTCTCCAGATTGAAAGAGAATAAACTCCTCTTTGTTCAAGGTATCCCATTTGTAGTATTTTTGTTAGAGCGGCAGTAGGTAACCAAAATAATAAGACCGAAGAAGAGTTGATGCTTTTGAGTTGTGATCCTGGCTAAGAATGCTGCAAGTACCATGGACTGCTAAAAGAACTAACAAATCTGTCCTGGAAAAAGTGCAGCCAGAACGCTCCTTGGAAGCGTGAATGGCCAGACTTTGTCTTACCTACTTTGGTCATGTTGTCAGAAGGGACCATTCCTTGGAGAAGGACATCATGCTTGGTAAAGTGGAGGGTTGGCAAAAGAGGGGAAGGCCCTTGGCAAGATGGATTGACACAGTGGCTGCAACGATGGGCTCAGGTATAGCAAGGGTCATGGAGCTGACACAGGACTGGGCAGTATTTCGTTCTGCTGGCATAGGCTCACTATGAGTTGGAGACAGTTTGACGGCATCTAACAACAACAACAACATTATATATATGTTGTTCTTAGCTCTGTTGAATTGGCCCCCTACTTATGGTGATCCCATGCACAACAGGATCAGACTCTGTGTCCACAGGGTTTTCTTGGCCAATTTTTCAGACATACATTGCCAGTCTGTTGTTCCTTGTCTTAGTCTGGAAGCTCTGCTGAAACATGTTCAGCATCATAGCAACATGCGAGCTTCCAGTGACAGGTGGGTGGTGGCTGCACATGAGATGCATTGGCCGGGAATTGAACCCAGTCTCTTGTATAGAAAATGAGAATTCTACTACTGAACTGCCACAGCCTGCTGTATTATCTAGATACAGTGTTACTGTTCAAAATCAATGGCTCTTATACTCTAGGTTACTCTTTTAGTGCCTAAAGATGGATTTATTTTTATCCTGAATATTGATTAATAATATTACTTTAGAGAAGGCTAACTATGATTAATAACAGCAAAGTAATGGATGCATTAGCTCAAACTTAGGACTACAGTGTTTTTCACATTCATTTCTGATCACTTGAGTAACCACTCATAGACTGCCATAAGATTATCTAGAAGAAACATGTTGCTTACATGTACATTATTTTTCCTTTTAAATTGTCATCTAATAGCATTTTTTTTTTAAGATTATAACAATTTCTTTTACAATCCAAGGGTTTGTTTTCAATGGAATTTCAGTGCTCTAAGTAAAAGGCATAGGGCTAGAAGTCATATTTCCAACCATCAATGAATAGAGAGGGTGATTTATGGTTATGGATTGGAAGTAGATGATGGAAGAATTTTGAAGATGAATAAAAAATAATACATAGTTGAAGAATGAATAGTGTATGACCAGGCTGCCCTGAGTGCTTTACAGTATTAGCTCATTTAATCATAGAAGTCCTATGAAGTAAGAAGTCTTTGTCACTGTTTTAATTTTTAGAACTAGGACACAGAGAGCTTAAGTATCTAGTTTGAAGTCACAGAGCAAGGAAATTTTGGAGATAGGATTTGAACACAGTCTGGTTCCAGAGTCTAGGCTTTTAATACTATGTTATACTTCATTCCAATCTAGAATCATTAGCTCTCTTTGGTTGACTAAGTATAATTTATGTGTAATAAAATACACCAATTTAAAGCGTGCAATTTAGTGAGTTTTAACAAATATATACAATTTTATAATACCATTACAATCATGATGTAGAACACATCCATTATTCCCAAAATTTCCTGTATTCCCCTTTGTAGGTAATCCTCATCTACTGTATCTCCTAGCTATTTTTGATCTGTTTTCTATCATTGTAGTTTTGTTTTTTAGAGTTTCATATAAATGAAACCATACAGTCTGTATAGTAACATTTTAAACCAAATAAAGAAGCTGTGAAGAGCTTAGGTTTCTTTTTTACCTGATGCTCATTAGGTGCTAATTTAAGTTTTTGTTTGTTTGTTTTTTTAATTTTATTTTGATTTGGGTGAAAATTTACAGAGTAAATTCACTTTTTTTTTTTTTTATTTTATTAGGATTTGGGTGAAG